GAGGATTTGTTGGGGTGCAGATATTTATTAATTCCTTTGATTCCTGATGAGTAAATGTGATAGATGTCTCTTCAAATCAAATGCTCATTAATTTTTCATTTTTTCTTTTTCCTTTTACCTTTATCATCGTCCGAATTAATATTGTGCGCTTTATATGTTCACACTTTGAAAATTTTTGACATGTACGGTAGTAAATTTATTTATTTTTGGGTACGTGTAATTAATTGCAAATTTAACCTGACAATATTATTGTTAAATTACAAAACTAGTACAATACCCGTGTAATACACGGGTGTTGAATAAGAAAGCTTTTGTGAAAAATATTAAATTTTTTATTTTTTTTAAAACTAAAATAATTTAATTGTATACAAAACATTACTTTTGGTTTTAATTAAATTATAATATTATATTTTTTAAAACATAATAATTAAACACCGGTACATTAAATGAAAATGTCAACCAGTGTTGAATTTTTTTACTTATATCATATAAAAATATCGATATTATTTACTATTACATAAGTACAAAAATATAAATTTTAAATAAATAGAAATAATATAATGATATGTATATGCATAGGTGTAGAATATATTTATTTAATATTAAGCAAAATAGATTAATTTTTTTTTACTTAATTAGATGCTTAATACATCAAGTGTCGTATCAGTCGTGTTTCACAGTTTTTTAACTTTATATGTAATTTTAAAATTTAGATAAATAATTATTTATTTTTATTACATTGACAGCATACCAATTTAGTGGTGGTATCGGTTCGGTTACCGAACCGATAAGCATATACCGATACCGTATCGATAATGTCGGTAACCTCGGAATGCAAAACCGATATCGAACCGATTAAAGACGGTTACCGAAATTTCGGTAACCGAAAACTCGGTTCGGTCTAGGTTCGGTATTGGTTTTATACCCAAAAAACCGAACCGATTTTGAGCACCAAAAAAAAAAATTGCTAATGTATACTTTTCTCGTCATTTTTGTAATTTTTTTTCACTTCTTAACAATTAAATACACACAAAAGACTCACAAATCCACTGAAGGATTAAAAAGCTTAAATTTAATGTATAGAAGTTAGTTTATATATTATTAGATTATAGTTTTTGTGGTAAACGCAACTAATAAAACAATATATTCCTAACATGCAAGAAATAAAATTTGTGATACAACTTCAACTAACTTATCTAGTAACGGTGGTACGAGAATAGACTACAATAACGGTAGCATGCATCTTTTTTAGAAGAAGTGAGACTGGTAAACCAACAATGATCCGATTAGAAGTTGAATGAGGCGATGAGTAATGGTATTTTTCTCGTCATTTTGAGGTTTAGGTAGGATTGAAACAAGATATTTCAATTTTTGAACACTAAACAACTAATCATTGTTTTAATATTTAAAAAAATCTTTGTTTTATTTTTTTTTACCCTTGTCTGTTCGGTATCGGTTTTACCGAACTCTTACGGGTTCAAACCGATACCGTACCGATAGTGATTCGGTAACCGATGTAGGTTACCGTTACAAGCGGTTCGGTATGGTTCGGTTTATTTTCTCGTCGGTTCGGTTTGGTTCGGTTTGGTTTTCGGTTAAAAAATGCCAGTCCTATAACAATTAGATTTGAAATAAATATCATTTTTTAAAAAATACATACCAATTTCTATTACTTTATAGTATAATTTATAGTTTTATTTGATATAATATAATTTAGTTTTATAAATAAATTTAAATTTTATTCATAAGGATATATAGTACTGTTTTGTATTATATATATAGGATATATCTAATTATTTTGGCGGGAAAAAGTTTATAAATTTGTAAAAAGGTTATTCTTTTGATATAATGATAGATTCATTTTAATAAATAATTTTATTATTATTTTATTATTATTATAAAGATAAATATAGTTTATTTATTTTATATAAACAATATGGATGTCAAATCGAAGCTCATCAAAAGATGATTAATTTCATATATTACATATGTAAAACCGATAAGAAATACAAAAGTTATCAACTTTTAAAATATATTTGCAATTTAATGTGTTATAATAGAAAATGATATTAAATACAATTAATAAAAATATTAATTTATACAGATAAAATTTTTATTTATCAAGTGTGATGTAAGTAAAAAATGAATTAATATAAAAAAGGAAAATAAAATGATTAAACAATTAAGTTAAAACTTAAAACAAAAAAAAAAATATAAAAAAAAATTAAAGAACAGCGTTCAATAGGATGAACACAATTGAGGGCCCCGCAGCGATAAAGAACGGCCACATCCCGTTGAACGCACAAGTGGCGTTTAAACTTTAAACACCCAAATTAACTTCAGCGATGCAGATGACGCAATCAAAATAAACAACCGCCTCTTCTCTTCCCATCATCCGAATCGTCACGTCTAATAACTTAGGCGTCTTTTTAGAGCATCTTTACAGTCATCACAACGCCTCTTCACAGTCTTCACATCATTATAAATTCTCCCATTAACATAGGGAAAAATACAATCTACATCTTCTCTCCTCTTATAAAAATTCAAAAATAAAAAAAAAAAAAAAAAAACCTTAAAAAAAATGTTTTCTGCAAAGCCAAAAAACATAATGGACCACTTCCAATTGGTGAGACAGCAGATGG